GCATCTTCATCAGAAAATAATCTTCGAGAACAAATCGAGTAAGAATTATCTATTTGTATAATTATTCTGCATAAATAATATTCATAGAGAACCATTATATAGAGCCACTTCATCGACTACATCATCAACAAAAAAAACAATATATCCAAATGTACCTAAACGAACATCACGAATGGCATTGATTAATGAACCGTAATGATGTAAATTTGAATTTTCTAATATTAAAAATTTATTTTTTAAGTGAAACAATGCAAACAGAATCTCAAATATTTGTTATACCATCGATAATAAAATCACAAAAATCTAATGGGTAAATTCTATTGATTAATTTTTTCATTCAATCGATAATATTTATTTTTCAATTAGATTTACGCCAATGCCATCTTCAGTCCATCAAACTCTACATAATTTAAATTTAATCACGAAATATACTTCACCACAAAAAGCATCACGTAATCAATAAATTTATATATATAAAGACATATTTTAATTAGTTATTTTTTATTAATAGATGAATCTAACGATGATTCTTTATCATCTACATCAAGTCAGATTAGTTTTCGAAATGATAATAGCCTTTATGAGCAATTAAAACATAAACGAAGTTTATCTCTTGTGAATAAAAAAGATCTACATGCAAATGAATCAAAACGGATAAAACCATATGATGATGATGATGATGAAGACGATCTATCTGAACTTCTTGATTTTCGATATCATAAACAAATTCTATCACAATCAACAACTGATAATGAACAAAGTAAACCTAAACCACGAAAACCAACAGCTAGAAAATTAAGTTCTTCTCAACAAAGACCAACGACGTAATATTTTCTTTTTTTTGGGTTAATCTATATTCTATTTTCTACTAAATAGATTATCAACACAATCTACAAGAAATAGTTCATGTAAATCACCTGAAACACTTATTATCGAACCTGATATTGATGAAGATGACATTACAATGGATCGCCAAGAATCAATTTCTATGCATACAAATTCTCAAATTTCAAATAAACAACATAATAGTCATAGTAAACTTGAACGTATGTTTTCTTTTCTTTTATTTTTAACTTAAGAAATTTTGTTTTCTTTTAGATATTTTAAGTCAAGGAAAATCGAATGTTGCTAAATCATCAAAGTCAGTTATTAACAAAACACCTATTTCAACTCGTTCACCATTGTATAATCCTACGAAACAAGTTCAAGGGAGTTCATCAGATAATATTTCACCTAATTCCAATGGTGAACGAACACGCATTTCTTCTGAATCATCACAATCTTTTTATGATACACCATGTTCATCATTATCACGTACAACAACAACTACACGTGATTTAAATTCAACTCCACAAATTATTATAAAAATTGATAATGAAACTCAAACATCAGCATTATCAGATACTGATATGCTTAATCAATTAATTAAGCAAATGAATATAAATGTAAATAATAATATCAGTACAACTATTTATAATCCTATTGATCTTGCAAAAAAATTATTTCAACAATTTAATTCATTTTCATCACGTAATAAATATCATACAATGAATTCATTAATTAAACGACAATTATTAAATTTTGGTCGATATGAAATTGAAGTACTTTTTCCAATTAATCATGACATAGTAAATTATTTTGAATATTTGTCATAAATTTTTATTTTCTTTTTTTTTATCAAGATTCCAACAATCTATGCATGTGACATATGTTTAAAACATTTTCATGGTAGTTCAATAGCATTTCAACGTCATAAGTCTAAATGTTTATATACTCAACCACCAGGTAAACTTGTGTTTAGTTCAGATGATCTAGCAATATTTCAAATTGGTGAAGTAAAAATGAATATTCAACAACGTATTTATATCAAATCATTATGTCGAATTACTCGTTTATTTATTGATTCAAATAAAAGCGTTGATGATAGAAAAATCGATCGATTTATATATTATATTTTATGTCGTAAGGATCCTATTTTATCACAATTTCAGGTAAATATAATTTATTATAAACATCAAAGAGTTATTGTATTCTCACTAACATTGTGTGAATTAGCTATTGAATTATTAAGCAGATATAACATATCTGATAATTATAAATGTTTGCAATCAATTGTAGTTGTGTAAGTATGATGAAGACCATAACGATAGCTAATGAATTAAGACAAGCTTCATAGGTATTTCATTGAGCTTTTACCTATAGTTACTGTACAATAAACTGATTAAAATTTCTACTGTGATCTGAGTAAGTCGTAGCATCTTTCATAAAGATTTGTATAAACTCTTCAAATTTGAGGGTGAGGGCGTGAGTTAAGATAGTACTCTTAGCTTTATTTGCATCCACCCCACACCCTCACCCACACCCATATTCATCCTCAAGATTAGAATATCGATGGATGATACCAAAATAAAAAATCAATAAATTATTGTTCTTGTTTAGAATTTTTAATAGAGAAAGATTATAAATCGAAGGATATATTAACATTATATTTTTTGGTTTTGGTCTTCTTTTTTAGCCTCCTCTCTATCGTTTTATTGGTTATTTTTCTAAGAAGCTCAATCATGATACTCAACAATCGATAAATAATTTTTCATGTTTATCAATCTTACCACCTTTTGCTCAATATCCTGAATACAATCAATTATTAATTGCTTTCAGTTATTATCTTATCCGATCAAATACTTCCACAAATTTAGCGTGCTGTTCACCGGCTCGTCCACTTGATAATGCAACACTTTTTATTTTTCACATCTATTGTCTTGATGTTATATTTGATTATATAAACAATGCAAATGAAACTTCTATTACACTTGATACACTTGCACGACAAACATCTATTCATCCACGAGATATTCTTTCAAGTTTATATTCAAAAAATCTTATTCTTCCATGTTCAATTGATAAAACATCTATTTATCTTATTAAAAATGCTTATCATTCCATGACATCTTTAAATATACATCTTAAAAATAAATTATTATTTATGGATACAAAATTAATTGTTACTAATAATGAAAAACAAATCATACATGACAAACATAAGTAAATAACAAAAAATAAAATAAATTCGATATTAAAATAAATTTCAAATTATTTATTTTTAGTTTTGATAAAAATCAGAATAGTGCCATACAAGAAATTATTCTAGATTAATATTTTCTTTTATATTCTTTGGTATATTTGCTTTGTGAGACTGCATTTTCAAAATTAAGAATAGTATGTTCATGATAATCAATAAAACAAAACCAAGAAACAGATATCTTTTTGACATTCATTAGGAATGTCAATTATTTTTTATGTTGTATTTATGTTCTATGTTGTTAGAAAAAACAAACTTTATAGGAAAACAGAATAATAAAAGTTATATAAAAAAAACAAATGAAAAATTTTCTTTTTCCTGTTTATTATATTCGATAGAAAAGAATTTATGTAGAAGATTATTAGAGATAATATCCTAATTGAGATAAAAATGTCCGATCTTATTTATAGACAATAATCAGTGTACTATATAATTGTTAGTCAACCTTGATAATCATTGCATTCACGTGAATCGGATTAAGCTAAATATACATCAATATGTTCATCATTTTCTAATTATTATCTATATTCTTTCCTATTGTTAATTCATTTGGTATTATGAAGAGAAACAGTATCGATACACGATGATTGAAGGTCAGAAGTATTTATCATAGGAGAGCAAGGAAAAACAAGACATTATCACCAATATAACTCTTTCGAAACATAGACATATAGATTAACTTTTGAGTAATGATTTATATTTGCTTCTCTGTTCTTATTTCCTGTTTTTAGATTATTATTATTAATAACATAGATTGAGAAACGCATGCAAGTATAACTATGCCCGTGTTTCATACAAGAACAATTGAAAGTATTTTAGAACCAGTAGCACAGCAGGTATGATTATATTATATTTAATTGTTAATAAATATAAGATTATTTTTTCTTCTTAGGTATCACGTTTAATTATTTTACATGAAGAATCGGCAGATGATAGTAATCTTATGCCAGATCTTTCAAAACATGTTCAAGTAGTTAAATTAGCTGTTGATAATCTTATTCAAGTAGGTCATGAAACATGTTCAACAAGTACAGATGATCTATTACGAGTTGATATGCCACAAGCATTTCAACGTGTCAATCAAGCATCAACATTATTAATTAATGCTGCACAAATACTTAAACATGAACCATGTTCAACAAAAGGACGACAAATGTTAATTGAAGGAGCACGATGTAATTCATTTGAGAAAATTAATAAATAAATAAATGAATGAATTTTTCTATAGGTATTTTACAAGGTATATCAGCTCTTCTACTTACATTTGATGAATATGAAGTACGAAAGATTGTTAGTGTATGTCAACATGTTTTCAATCATTTATCATATGTAGAAACAATTGAAACAATTGAGCAACTTGTTGATTTTGTACAAGTAAGTATTATTAGTTAATTTTTCTCTTTTTAAAATCGAAATTTTTAAAAGATAAGAAAATAAAAAGACAAAACTAAGTAAGTGCTAATATATTTTGCTTACAATAACCTCTAACAGTTATAATTTTTTTGATCAATAAAATATAAAATTTTTCTAAAAATTAATTTAGAATTTAACACCTATACTAACACAAATGAGTAAAGAAGTTGATTTACGTATAAAAGAATTAACACATGTTATACATCGTCAATTATTAACGCGATCACTGGAACAAGTTAAAACTTTAACACCATTATTAATATCAAGTATTAATATTTGTATAACATCAAAACATACTGGTAAGTAAATTTTTATAATAACCGATTGATGTTTTTATAGTCAAGTTACTTTACGATTTTCAGTTTTTTGACAAATTGTAGCTTGTAACTGTGTGTAGACATGACCCAAACCCAAACTCGATTTCAAACAGTTTGGGTTTCGCTCATGTTTAACTGTGTGCTTTTCTTTCTTGAGTATCTTCAGTCGACTCAGTACAGTCCAGAGTATCTATTAGAGCAATCAAAAACAGATGATTACAGTTTTGAGGTGTAGGATTTTTCGCGAAAACTTGACCTGTTTTTATTTATAAAAATGAATTTCTAGGTGGTCATACAATTGTTGAATCAATAGAAAATCGTGATTATGTTGTAAATAAAATAAATGATGAACTCGGTGAAATAATACGAATACTTCAAATAATAACAATTGATGATATTTTATTAAATGAATTTGATGAAGATGAACAACATAATTTAAAAAAGCTTCTTGTAAGAAATTTAACCAAAAAACAATAAATATTTTATTTCAATTATTATTATAGAAAACACTTGGTAATCGTTTATATCAAACAAAAAATTGGTTAGCAAATTCTCAAGCATTAGAAGGAACATTAGCTGAACGATCTTTACGTACAATTCTTGATGATTTACGTATACATATTACGGAACATTGTCTTGATGAAAAACAAGCAAATCAATTAATGGAAAAAGTAGATGCTATTTCACAAATGATGAATCGTTTATTACAATTACGAGCACAATCAAAAGTATTTAAAAAAAACAAACCATGATTTCTATATTGAATATTTATTTTATTATTAATTAGGGTGATACTAGTGAAGCAACTAGTCTTTCACGTAATATTTCTCAACAACTTGATACACTTTATCGATCATTAGAGCGTACAATTCATTTATTAAAGTATACATCAGATTATCAACGACCAGCAACGACTGTTAATGGAAAAGTTGATCAAGCACAACGATGGCTTTTACAACCAGATATGGATCAATTTGGATTTGGTAAGATCATAATGTTTTATAGGCTTAAATAGAAAAAAATCTAAATATTATTTTTTAGGTGAATTTGCTATTCGAAGTCTTGTAAGAATAGCACGTCAATTAGTTACTATATGTGAATTATCTTATCGTCGTGATCTTATTGAATGTTGTCTTCATATTGAAAATTTATTATTAAAATATAATGATTTATTACGAAGACGATTAGTAAATATCTTTTTTTTAATTCATTCAAGAAAACCAAAAATTTGTTTTTGTCTATTTAAGCCTATTCATGGACCCGAATGTGTTATGATAAGTCGTTCTCTATCAGCACATATATATCAATTACAGTATCATCTTCAAGAAGCCATTATTTATCAAGTATCTGATGATTTTATGGATATTACATCAACAATAAAAACATTACGACAAGCTGCTTTTCAATCAACAAGTATTTGTTTTTCTAAAGTGAAATTATATTCTATCTATCTATTTAAGATGAATCAAATCGACAAGAATTATTCCAAACAGCTATACAAGAATTTATAAATCATTCATCAACATTAACTCAAACAGCACGTTTAGCAGCAAATGGAACATCATGTCGATCAAAATCGACTATTGAAACAATTAATATCACAGCATCACAAGTTTGTTTTGTATTCCGAAAATTTATTTAAACAAAAAACAAATATATATTTAGATTAATGATTTAACACCACAAGTTGTTTATGCTGCTCGTATTGTTTTTGGGAATCCATGTAATTCATCAACAACTCAAGAACATTTCGATCTTCTTCGTGATCAATGGTTAACACAAATAGAATATTTACGACATCATGTTGATGAAGCTATTCCATCTGATGAATTTATTAAAGCTTGTGGTTTGTTTTTTTTAATCGATATTATCTTTATTAAATCGAATAATTTTAGAAGAAGCAATTATTCATGATACACAACAAACAGAAAAAGCGATTGCTGATTTAAATTCATCAACTATTATTGATAGTACATCGAATATAATTCGACGTGCTAATCGTGTTTTACTTGTAACATATCAAGAAATAGAAAATTCCGAAGATTCAATTTTAATAACACAATTACAACAAGTATCTAATACACTTAAAGAAAGTAGGTCATTCTAAAAATATCTTTTTTTTATTGAAATTAAATTTATTTTTTCTTCTAATAGCTTTTTCATCCATGATTGCTGCAGCTAAACAATTAGCTTTAAAACCTGATGATAAAACAATACATTCAAAATGGCAACAAACAAATAATGAAGTAAGCTTTTGATCGAGATCTTTTTTGATAATCTTTGTTTCTTTTGTTGAATTCTAGTTAATCGATGCTGTTGGCAATGTACGTGAAATACTTCAACCTTCAACATCAAATCTTACTAATGGAATAGCACATATTTCATTGAATCGTCGCAGTTGTATGTTTATTATTTCATGCTGTTGTATTCAAATAGAGATTTTTTCTGAATTTTTAGCATCAGGATCTCCGCCTCCTCGTCCACCATTACCATCCGATGAAGAATTATCTGCATCTGCTGCTCCACCAAGACCACCGCTGCCAGCCGAAGAAATAACGGAAGAAGAAATTTATGACAAAGATCTTCCGCGACCTCAATTAAATCAACCAATTCTAGTTCGTATAAAATTAAACAAAAAAAAACCCTAATCCGGATATATTAATTTATCTATTTTTAGATGGCTGCTCATGATTTGCATATGAATATAAAACAATATTCAAGTCATGATAACGAATTAATTGCATTAGCAAAAAAAATGGCTCATTTTGTTGCACAATTGAGTCTTTTTATTCGGTAGATTATATTTAATTAATATTTTCATGTATATTTTTTTTTAATTAGTGGCGAATCCGGAACAAAACGTGATTTAATATCAATATCTCGAGAATTATCTGAAATGTCTGAATATATAACATATTTAGCTCGACAAATAGCAAGTGAATGTACTGATCGACGAATGCGAATAGTATGTTTTTTTAACTTTTGCAATAAGAGGATGAGAAAAAAAAACAAATAACTTTTAATTTCTTTTTTGTTATCTTTAGAATTTACTACAAGTTAGTGAACGTATACCAACAATCGGTACACAACTTAAAATTTTATCAACAGTAAAAGCAACTATGTTTGGAACTCATGGTAAAATAGTTTTTCTTTTTATCTATATTTATTTTCATTGTACATCAATAGATTCTTTACCACGTAGTTTAAGTAAAAATGAACGAGCAATTATTTGTAAGAGAAAAGAATGCATGATATCCTCTTTTTTGTATCCATCAGCCTTTGCTTATAAATAATCGATAGTTGATGCGGTAGCTTTCTATATTTTCTAGTAAAATTGTTGAGATTCTATTAAATAAGAATGCATCGCTTATTCTTTCATACGAAGTAAAACAAGTTGTAATGAATATTTCACATATTTTTTAAAATATGTGAAGTATTAAAAAAAGTAACCAATTAAATTTTGTTATTCATGAGAAGGTTTTCACTAAAATATAAAAGTATGCTAGACAGAATTACGTTAAATAAACAATAATAGAATTTTTTTTAAAGTTGCCTCAGACGTTTTTTTTCCTTTACTACTTCAATCTTATTATAATATGTCATAAGTAAAAAGAATATAAGTTCATTAGCAATGCATTCAATGACATCTTGATATTACCTTCTTTTTTAATATAATCAGTACTCAATTTCATTGTTAATATTTACATATATCTCCAATGTCCATGAATTGATTCGTTTTCTTTTTATTACTATAAATAGAAACCTTATTATGAAAATTTAAGTTTGTTCAATGTATATAAGAATAATTAATCTGAAATATATATTGGATAAAAAAAATCAATCTGAAAAGAAGTTCAGTTTGTGTTAGTTGAAGTGAAAGCAAGCGATTTTCTATAAATAGAAAGTATGAGAATAAAATCCTTTTATAGTTTTTATTCACATGCATGAATTGGCTTTAGCTTAAAGTATTTATTTATATATCAATTAGAGTTGTCGATGAATCTTTTTGTTTTATATGAGAAACCAAAATAATATATTTTTTTTATTGCTCTTATTTTCTTAAGGTTCTGAAGAAGATGCTGAAGCAACTGAAATGCTTATTGGTAATGCACAGAATCTAATGCAATCTGTTAAAGAAACAGTAAAAGCAGCCGAAGTTGCATCACATAAAATTCGACTTGTAGTCAATGGTATTCATCTAAGATGGACAAGACGAACTCGTTAAAAATCTTCTTTTTTTTCTGTCATGTACAAATAATTGTAAAAAAAGTTTTGTTTTTTTATTATTTAAAAATAGTAGAACAAATATTTTATTGTTATTAATTTATATTTAATTGTCATTTTTTTTTTCATATGAAAAAAAAAGTATAAGAATAATGTGGATTTGTCGTTTACTTCATAAATCATTTTCATCAGCTAAATTAGCTGCAGTATCAAATGAAAAGGTAATTTATTCGTCAAGTTCCGATATCAAAACAAAAAACTATATTAGAATTATTTTCTATAGAATAAATTACAATCATTCGTTGCTAATCTTATATTATCTGGACAATTCTCTCGAGAAACTCATATTATTCCATATGAAGAATCATCTTTATTTGATTTTCCATCTTATTTTAAACACTTTTCGTCGATTACAGCTGGACTCTTATCATCATCATCATCACCATCATTCGGAGAGACTCTATTAGTCGCAGATAAGATACCAACAACAATGAAGATACTTGATAGGTGAGATTGCATTAATATTAACCAAAGTTCTTGTTACTTTTTTCTACTTGTATTTCGTTATCTTTTCGCGTTTTTAATATTTTTCTGTGATAACGATAGCGATTGCGCGATTGATGGTAATGGTAATGATGCAGGTCATGGACTCGTGGTATATTAATTATTATACTGTCTTTCATTAGCATTTATTTACAACATGGAATACAAATAAGTAAGTCTACCATTAAATTATAATTAAACGTACAACATTTTCCCATGCTATACTAATTTGTTTTTTTTGAGTGCATAATTAAATTGTACTTGTTCGTATGTCTATATAAAATACGAAACATACTGTTTACTGATAAAACGACATTTTTCTTCTTCTCTCTTTTTTCGTTCGTCTTTCATCATTGTTAAAGAATATTTATTAGCCACGCCCTTCTACATTCTATCTTCCTCTAATAAAAACAATATAACAGTTTCAAATATGTTCGAATACAAGCACGTGCTTGATCGGTATTTTACGATATGTAAGCTGTTAGATATATGTATATATATACATGTGTGTTGCGGGTAATACGAAAGCTTCATAAACTATAAGGGTAAATCGAGTAGAAATTCGTTTTTTTCTTCGTCTGAAGATTTTCATGTAAGTAGAATAAATAATTCTTCATCAGTTTCTGACAGCTTAATTGAGAAAAAAAATGATTATTTTTTTCTCTCTTTTTTTGCGGTTGTACTTTTTTTGAATGTTATGCATACATGAAGCAGTACTTTTTTATTTATATATGAGTTGATGTTTTTGAAGTATGCTTTTTTTT